AGCTCAAGTGAGCGGAAGGGCGCCAAAGCTTCGAGAGTGGACTTTGGAGTTTTAAAAAATACATTATGTTGAAATTCACCTCATCCCCATGGACCCCGTAGCGTGTACTCTCAAGGTAGAGTGAAAAGGGCGCTTAGCGGTACTACAGGGTTAGCTAGGTTAGCTAGTGGAATCTGAGCTGATCCTGTAAAATACAGGTTATCAGCCCTAGGCTAACTAGAGTAGAGCTATGGACCCGATGGACGATGACGTTGTGCCGAACGCCTACGGAAGTGGTTTTGACATTGTTCCAAGTTTACCCAGTGGTGTGGATGCAACTCAGAGACATGAACAGGCAATTGCTCAGGTGGCAGCAATGGACCCACGGGTAGCTTCGGAGGTATACCAACAAGTGCTAGACAGTGGTGGCAGTGTTTCCCTTCAGGAAGCTACTCAAGCTACCCTAGCCGGTATGCCGTCAGCCACCGTAATGGGTGTGCCAACTGTGAACAACACGTTGGCAATGACACGGTTCAACGTCGTCAATGTTCACACAGCCTCAGTTGATGAAGCTCTACGACGTGAGTTACACCAACACGAGTTTCAACTCAGTGAGCAAGCCAGGCGCGAAGCGGAACTCGAAGCGTTGCGTTTTAGGCTATACGAACGAGAAGCTTCCGTATCCATCGCGGCAACAAAAGTTGCTGCAGAGTTGGCCGTACAGAATGTTCAGCAATTGGCTCAACAGAATGACAATGTTGCAATAAGGAGGTTGCAAGCAACTTTGGAAGAGCAGCGTGAACACTTTCAACAGCGGTTGGCTCAGGCAACAATGGCTCACGACAAAGCAGTACGAGAAAGGGATGCCTTAGCAACAAACTGCTCGGAAGGCAATATGTATTTGGAGAAATTGAAGTCAGAGCATCGGCAATATGTTGAACAAAATGAGACTAGATTCAAAGCAGCGGCAGAGGCAACAGAACAAGCAAGATGTACAGCAGCCGAAGACGCCAGCAAAGTTATTGATCTAGAGTTCAAGCGCGATGAACTGACAAGCTCCTTGGCAATAGCACAGGCCAAAGTTAGGACGCTCTCAAGCGAAATTGAAGCAGTCAAGAAGCAGAGCAGTTTTGACAAGGAACTTCAGAAACAAACAATAGTTGAACTCAGAAGGGACAACGCAATGTTGAAAGGTGAGATGGATGAGCTCAGACAAATGGTGCAAGCGTTATCCAATGCGAACAAGGAGGCAGAACGCAAGGCGCAAACTGAAAGCCCCGCGAAACCAGGGCCGCTTCATCCTGAACCACCACTACCTGAGGAGAAGCCTGAATCTTTCCCTGTCGGTCAACCTCTCTCTCTTGGACCTCTACGAACTGAAGGCTCAGTCCCAGCAACCGTAGATGGTTCGCCCCCAGATCTTGGCGGAATTCCTGTGAAAACTGCAATGGGTGCAAATGCAAGCAAACGCAATACAGGATTCCCTTCAATGTTTTCTGGAACAGGGGCGGCTGCAGCAGAGAAACCTTCAGCTTCAACAGAAAAGAGAAAGTTAGATACACCAGATCCTTGGGCAGAGTACAGGAAGAAGTCGGAAAAGGAAAAGGACAGGGCAAGTCCCGAAACAGGACTCGTGAAGGTCCGTATGAGTCAAGGCCGTGGCACTATGACCATATGCCGCCTCCTCCGTTGCCGCCAAGTTCGTCTTCATCATCCCACACTCCCGTAGTTGGGCAGTCGCACGAATGGCGACCTACACCTAAGCAATATCAAGCTTCAGACTCAAGGCCATTGGAGCCTTTTGATTTTCCTGGTGTACAATGGCAACGGGATGATGAATGGGCCGACAAATACTGGCCCAGTCACATGGAGCTTTGGGCATGGATGCGAAATGGCTGGCGGGATTACACAGCAAGGATTGGATACACACACTTTGATTGATACAAAGTTTGGACAGCTACCAGAACTGGTAAGCACTACAGCCTACCAGTGAGATGACGTTTCACCACATCGTCTCACGTAGGATAGCATCCTTAATCGGATTGCTTTAGGCGGAGAGTGAACTTTTAATCAATGCTCTAGCTCTAGAACTGGGATCAGCATGTGTAACAACATGCCAAGTGAACCGGTAGGTTGTAGCTACGTTGTCCTTGTACAGTGCATGCACGAGCTTGACGAGGGATTTCTAATATGATTCCTTCGTCGCTAGAATTTGTTCCTCCCAGAGATTTTCCCTACGGGTAGCTCCTAGTAAAGGGGGGTGTTGAAATTCACCTCATCCCCATGGACCCCGTAGCGTGTACACTCAAGGTAGAGTGAGAAGGGCGCTTGGCGGTACTACAGGGTTAGCTAGGTTAGCTAGTGGAATCTGAGCTGATCCTGTAAAATACACATTACTGGTAGCGATGCACCTGTTACTTGTACTAGTAGCGTCCTTGTTCCTAGTAGTAAGGCCAGGAGCCACTAGTAGCGTCTTTGCTCGAGAGGATGTCTTTCAGTGGTGTCTTTATGTGGCGAATGTTGGTTGTTGGGACGACTATTAGGTCAGAGCGGCCTTTTGTTGGTTGTTCTTTCAATTGGTTGTTGGGATGGCTTGTTGATTCCATGGTGCTTTTTCAGGGCGCAACAGGGAGGAGGAAAACCCACTTTCAGTCATCAGACCATCACACAGCCGTTCCCACGAGAGAAACCAAGACACAGTTTGGGTGGGGCTGTACTTTTGCAAACGTTTTCTATGAGTATTTGTTGGATCAATCTAGTCACTATATGTGTTTTACCATATATATACATATTTATTTGATTGTTTTATTTTTTCACTACAGATCTTGTGATGGCTGGGTAGACAAATCCATTTCCCCAACCTTCCAGACGTTGCTTGGGAGGTGTCCCTATTTTGATGCGCAATTTGAAGACAAGTCCTAGATAATTCTCTTGTATTCTCTTCCTGTCAGGATAGCCCTAGCGGTAGCGTTCGAACGTGGGCTGAAGAGTGCAACAGCAGGACTTGGAAGAAATGTGCGCACCGGTTTGCACTAGTCCGGTTTGCACTAGTGCTGCGACCGTGCAAACCAACATCAGACAAACTCTACGACGAAGAGGAACATTCTCATTCAAACGAAGGTTTTCAGAGATTGCCAAACACTCGGGTATCCATGGGCATGCTTTGAGATGTTCAAGCCAAGTCGTGTAGGGATACTCATGGATGTCAGCTTCTTATCAAATCAGTCCCATTTGGATCGTGGATAGTCGCATGGCCCAGGCTGGACCCGTCCGGTCGGATGGAGGCGGCCGGACCCGGCCCGGCACTTGTTGGATCGATGGCGAGCCGGATCAAATGCCGCGAGGGTCGTGTTTCAGATGATGTTTCATGACACTTCAAGATATGAGTGCAGGTCAAAAAGGTTCATCAACCCATCATTTGGGTTGGTGGTTTCAGATATTTAGTGATATAATATATATATATATGTATTTGTTTTTGTTCAACCGTTACTTATGATTAAAATGTGAGTTGAAACCACCAACCACTCAACCTCAGCATTTGTCTCGATGACATGTCTTGCGAGTCCTGACCTCCCGCCCCGGCCGAGTTCCGCCGCAGGCGACGAACACCCCCAGCCGAGCCCGCCAGGGCGGCGGCCGCAGGGCGGCCAAGTCGGTGCGACAGTCAAAGCCAAAGAAGACCTAGTAGCGTCCTCGCTCCTAGTAGCGATGCCAGGAGCCCCTAGTAGCGTCCTTGCTCCTAGTAGCGATGTGAGAAGTCCCAAATACAAAAAGTGATCTGTGATATATGCAGTTGAAAAGGATGCCAATGCTAGAGCCTCATGGTCGTTCTCACCTTGTTGGTGTTCGGTTGCGGTTTCAGCGCTCTCCACCGAGAGCCACTCCGGGTGATCCCCACGACGGAGCTGTCGATTCCCTAGGCCATCGGATGGTGGCTACGCAGCGTTCAAGGTCACTCGAGCTCCAAACGTGTGATGTTTCGCCATGGAGGAATGAAGAGGAAGGTGAGTGCTTTGGAACTTCGTGAGTGCTGGAGGGAACTTCAGGTTTTAAGCACAACAAGGGAGCAAGTGATGATGGTCGAAGAATTGACTCATGCATCCATTTGCTCCTGAAAGGAGAGTTGACTGAATCTCTTTGAAGAATCCGCAAGAAACCTTGTTTTTGGATACGCCTGGTGGGCCTAGCCCGCAGGCTCGATTTGACAGAGAATATCAACAGCAAGAACGAGCTCAGAGTTGCTTAGCTGAATGGACAGTGAGATTCTTGATTCAAGATTCACAGGCATCAGCTTGTAAATTAGATGAGTCTTCAAGTAAGGGTCAACTTCGGCTCAGCATGTGAAAAGTGAAAAGGGAAAGTGTGAACCTGGCGGATTAGTATCAATATGACAATATGTATTAATATCAATTAATTAAATTCCACCAATCATATTTCAGGTATACTGCTCCTGGTTAGCCTAGAGGCAAGCTTGTGCACTCCCTCATGCCACTTTTTGCAGAACCATACAGTGACACCAGACACCACCCCGAAGAACCATGCTTGCTCGGCCCTTTATGGAAGACTTGCGCGGAAGTTAACCAGAGTGCTGCGAGATGGATTGAGACCAGCACTTTGTTTGTTTGATAGTCACATCAACCTAAGCTCACCTAGTGGGTACTTTGCAAGGACATCAGCAGGAGGTTAGAGGGAGACATGAATGAGAAGATGTTGAGATTCTACGGGTCCTGTGTCTCGTGCTGCGTCTCCAGATGTCCACAGCATCTTTGTACATTTGGTGGAAGACTTCTGAAGATCAACTCTTGCTGGGCATCCTATTTCATCGCCAATGGAAGACAGCTCGGGCATCCTGTTCAGACCCAGGTTTCTGAAAACTCTCTGGTGGTTTGGTCTAGGCCACAGCTTTGGTCTAGGCGCTTTGCCATCCTATGGCTATGCCACGCCTCGGCCTGGATTGGTGTATGTTTCAGCGGACGGCCAGCCTGCATTGGGCGATCTGTGTGGGTTTCCATGGCTAAGGCATGGCCATTTGCCGTCGACAGCGGCAGGTCTTGGAGGCTCTACAGGTCGGAGATCCCAATGAGACGGAGCGTTTGGGTCCGGTCGAGTCTCGTCCTTTGACTATGGTTTGACCTTAAAAACATCGGAGCCGACACGGGCTTGCAGCTGGTTCTGATGGTTCTTTCAGGTTTCATGTCCAGGATGGGCCTGAGAAGTCCTGTTTCTTGCTTGTCGTGTTGCGGCCAGGATGATAGGAAAGGGTTGGACAAGTTCCGTTTCTAGGAGCGAGAACGCTACAAAGGGCATCGCTACTAGGAGCAAGGACGCTATTAGGGGCTCCTGGCATCGCTACTAGGAGCAAATAGCTGCTAGGAGCAACTGGCCACCAACCAAGGTGCCGGTCGTGTTTCTTCATCCTGCCAAAATTGACCTATTCCAGCCACAGTCCATGAGTTCTTTCTGATTCGTCACAAAGGTAGTGGCTGGCAGTAGGCTGGCAGGCCAGAACAGTCACAAGCTAGTCACAAAGCTATGTTGTTTCTTTTGTTGGGCGGATGAAAACCCCGGATGGACACTTTGGATCACTTTGGTTGACGAACCAAGAACTTTGCGAACACACTTAATCCACAGTGAAGCTTCAACATTTTTCCCAAGTCACCTTCGGAATTTTCCCAAGACATGCGGGTCGCACTGGGCCAGGATGACCGGCCGACTTGGGAGCCCCGGCTGGCACGGGCAGCCAAGGCAGAAGCAGAGGCCGAGTCGGGCCGTGTGGTGATTGGAAATCAATGAGAGTCGACTCTCCAGGGATCTCCAGGGTGCATCAGACATCAGACTCTCCACGGTGCCAAAATGATGGAGTCCGTGGGAGAATCATAGTTTCACACAATGAAGACGAACGGAGAGGGAAAGGTAACAGCATGTTCTGTGGCGGCTGCATGGCAGTTTCTGCTGCCATGAATATGGGCGAAGGTTTGGGCAAGTGTCGAGAAGGTTTGGGAGCAGAGCAGGCATAGAGGGAGAAGTAGTGGAACGAAGACACCACAACCACAGTACCAGGCAGTTTGATCAACTGAACATGGCATGAAGGAATGATAGCAAACGCAAACGAGAGGGCAGTCGGAAGAGAGGGCAGGAACTCGTGGGGTCGGGGATCATAATCAGCTTGGGGAGTTCCGAAAGAATTCTGTTTGACACTGGTTTATGGTCGCCCTCTTTTTGAGGGTCGTTGCTGGAAACCAGCAACCCAATGCCTAGGAGTTCTTTCGACTGATGCGTACAGCATCGGAGCAGCAAGCCAGTGCGCAGCCCAGTGATAGCCCAGAGATTCTGAAAGATCTGACTAAATCGCGGAAATGCTCAATTAATGGTGAGATGGCCAGGTGCTCCCTACCAACATTATTTTGCATACTGATATCATTTGATATCCATCTTATATTGCGGCAGTTGTTGCAATTTGGGAGGACACTTGAGAGGACATGTGACATCCCCCTAGTGGATTCGACTGCTAGGCACAAAGAACAAAAAATGCACAGTGCACATTATCTCAGTTTCAGGAATTTTCTTACACCAACGCTCAGGTTGTGCTAGTTTGATGGCCCGAAAGCCACGACCAACAGAGCCCTGCGAGGAACCACAGGACAGAAACTGAAGCGCCGTGAGCGTTTGTCGCAGCACACTCCACTACGTGTTTTCACAGCGTTTTTTTACCCACGACAGGACAGACATATTACAACCTTTTTGTTGTCGGAGGATGGTCGTTTGTCAAGTCGTAAGATGCAGAGCCTTTGACAAGGCACTCAGCGTAACAGAAAGAAAGAACAAAAGAAAGACATAAGATGAACATTCATGAAATCAAAAAAAAATAACTTGTCGTTTGTCTCACAAGTGTTGTTGCTTTGCGGTCAGCGAAACCGCTGATTCTTGAGGTCTGATGTTTCATATCACAGCGAGTTTATACAGGAGGAGCTACCCGTGGTCCCTCGCTCTTGGGCTGAGCGACTTGGAGACTGATTGGACACCTGCCGAACAGTTCCGTCATGTTTGGTTGGATCCGGCCACATCGCCATGAAACCGAATGGATCGAACATGGCCTCTCCTTTTGAGACATACAAGATCCACAAAAAAGGACATACTGTATGTGCACGTCTCCTTCACTTCTGTTTTTCCACCTCTTCCTTCGATTTCGCTCGGCCCAACTGATCATCGGTTGAATCGCTCGGAAGTTTCCCTCTCAACGGGCCCTATTAAAGACTGACCTTTCTTCCTTTTCTTTCGTTTCTAACAGCGATGGCCTCCAACCTACTAGCGATGGCCTCTAACCATCTCTAACCTAGTAGCGATGGCCTCCACCACATCTCCAGGCAACAGGCCCGAGCATGTGCTTTGGCTGAGCCACGGCGCCGCGCCTCCGCACCGGCGGACACTGGGAGGCGGCGTACCAGCGTACCTTCGCTTCGTCCATGCGTGGACCGGTGAGTTGAAGAGTGGAACTGGTGTTGATTTCAATGTGTGACACATCTTGGTGAGACCTAGTGTGGTATCAGCGACCGAAGAGGTCCTTGAGACCTTTGTGAGACCTTGTCATCACAGCTGTCCATTCACGTGACCTGTACAGATGTTTCATGAAACATCATGAAGCGAAGAGGAGTGAGAATAACCACAAATCAACTGTGAACCCATAAGTGACCAGTCATCTGACCTGTCATTGGACCCCTGCACAAGCGTACCATCCGGGTCCATATCCGTCCATTCCAGCTCGCTTCAGCCGCAGGTCCACACCGCCCCGGAACAGCTCGCAGCGCCGAATGCTCGCAGCGGAGCAGCAGCGGCGCGTGGCGGCGTTGGCGCAGCCGCGGATGCCGAAGAGCGATTGGATGGAGGATTTGTGGCCACGAGGCGCCAAGGGTTTCACTCAACGGGCCCTAGACCTTTCTATACCTTTTTGATCATTTCTTCATATGTCTTCCTTTTCTTTCGTTTCTCACAGCGATGGCCTCCAACCTACTAGCCAGGAATTTTGGTCTTGGCGTTGAGTAGGATTTGCCACGCGCCCTCTGCAAGTCCTTTCTCCAGGTATTCCGGTTCAGGCGAGATTTGACAATAGGGTTGGCACATGTACGATGTTTAAAGCAATGTATTCGAGCCAAAAAGATATGTTGACCGTGTTCACCGGACTTTCAGATCTTCTTTGCACGCCTTTACTCCAACAAAGTGGTTTTGAGAGACGTCGACAAACTCGTTGGTGACGAGTCTGATCGAAGCCATGCCAAAGAATCGCCGGCTTCGTGTGGTGCCATATCTTCTCCTATTCTTTGGAGGCCTCTCTTTCCTCCAGACGAAGTGCCAGCGCAGGACTTTGCTCATCCGCAGGGCGGAGGAGGACGAGAAAGCTGTTTTCCCAGAACTCCTCAGCCTGTTGGAGAAGGCCGGTTTAAGCTCTTATAGCTCTGAAGTCTTGCAGTGGTGTGAGGATCAGGGTGCCAGTTCCAGTGAAGAGGTCCTGGAAAATCTCGAGGACTTGGCTTTGGACCTTGAAATTTCTGATGAGAAACTGGAGAAGCTCAAGCTCACCCACACCATGCAGCAGCAGCTTCATGAGGTTTGTGCCGCAGGGGATCACCTGCGCTTGGCCCAGATCTTACCCAGCTGCGACCTCGCTTCCAAAGACCCGCAAAACCGCTCCGCCCTCCATTTGGCTGCAGCTGGGGGACATGTGGAAGTGTGCCGGCTCTTGCTGGAGTCTCGGCCAGAGATGGTCACTGCCAGAGACCCCGAGGGCCGCATGCCTTTACACTTGGCAGCCTTCAACGGCTTTACCGAGCTGGTGGAGACTTGGTGGAAGCCATAGGCGTTTCTGGCCCGAATCAGTCCTCGAGGTTCAGTCATATGATCGAAGTTTTATCTATGTTTGATGAATTATGTAATTAATTAATGTAATTATCTAAAATACATCATTATACATTTGTGACATTTGTGTGTTTTATTCCTCGAGTGCTTCGACGTGGGAATAACACACATGGTCTCCACCAGGAACTCCTCATGGATCACGGTGCAGTGCCGGATGCAACTGAACGTGGCCAATCCTCCTCAGCACTACATGGTGCTGTGCGGCAGGGACATGTGGACTGCCTGAAGGTCTTGCTGAATCGAGGAGCCAACCGAGACCTTCGAGATTCTATGGGTCGAGATCCTTTGCATTGGGCCTGCTTCTGGGGTCAAACAGAAGCCGCCTCCTTCCTCATCGAGAAGGGAGCCAACTTCGGGGAGGAGAACCGTGATACCGGCAGTGGGGCGGGGCCCTTACACTGGGCGGCCTGGAGGGGCCACCGGAAATTGGTGGCCTTTCTGATTGAGCAAAAGGCCGATCCAAATGGACGCTCCTTGCAGCGGAACACCCCCCTGCACTTCGCGGCAGAGTCCGGGCATTTGGAGATGGTGAAGGATCTCTTGGCGTTCGGCTCCGACCCCGATGCCCTCACCGACATGGGTGAGACGCCCCTGACCTTGGCTCGAGCACGCATCGAGAAGGGACACTCGGCACCAAACCTGGCACAACCGACGTGCGGAAATCACACAGAGGTCGCCATCTTCCTGGAAGGCATCCAGACGGATCGAGAAAGCATCGTCATCTCACCTGACCAGGTAGCCTTGAAGATGTAAGCTGGGACGTGGAGTGGTGATAAAGATGCATGACATATACTGTATATACCATATACATCCATATACCGTTGTGTACCAATGGAGAACCCATACTTAAGATGTATTCGGTTATTGGGATGTATAGTGGAGCTCCAGCACTGTGGATGGAGACAGGGTTCTAGCTAGCCAGTTTCAAATCACATCAGCCTTGGCGTTTGAAAAGTTGCGGCCTAGATTGCACATCATGGCAGTTGATGGCACAATGGCCAGCAGTTGTTTTTGAGATCATCCAACAACTCCTGCCACACATGTTTGTCTGAAGAATCACAACATATAGATGGCATTTTGCTATTGGTTGGTTGATTTATAAAGGGGACACAAGTTTGGTCATATAGTACCTGGCATCGACCCCTCTATGATGCCCGATGAGAACAGATCCACTGCTCCAAGCCCTGTAGGCCTTTGGCGGGATGAGCTGATGTCTAAGGCCGCCGCCTTGGTGCCGGAAGAAGTGCAGGCCAAAGGGATCGCTGAATCAATTTTGCCGCATCCCTTTGGGGCGACTTGTTACGTCAGGTGTTGGGTGAGGGAAATGCAAGAGATTACTGTATGGCGAGTAGGCAGAAGCGGCGGGCAGCCTCTTTTTGTTGGAGGGTACGATGTGCCATACAAACGGTGGCATTTCCATGTTCAAGAGATTCGGCGATGAATCCGCAGGCTGCACGCCTTCTTTTGGAGAAGATGCGCCGCCGGCCACGATCCGGCAAAGCAGCTCGTTCAGAGGCACAGGGCTGTGCAGGAGGGGCAATTCGTGAGAGGAATGAGGTACAAAGCAGATCGCAGGGAAAATCGGTCGAGGCTCATCCTCCGCACCCATCATGGTTGCCAACCTCCTTGTTGAGACTAGGCTTGTAGCTTGTGGATTCCATTCAACATCACATCTGTCCAGGAGTCCTTTTCCCTTCCATATGAATGGGTGAGCATAGCCAGGTCTTCCAAATCCTGGGAGGAAGTAAGATGCTACAGACAACTGTTCCAGCTTCATCGCATGGGAAGATCGTACCCATGACACGTTCAGAGGATTAGAAAAGGTACAGTTTCACAAACCTAGTTCATCCTGTTTTTGGGCGGAGAGATGCGGGGCCATCGCTATGAATTAGATTGGAGGCCATCGCTATTAGGCAGATTCGATGTGGCTTCCAAGCGACTCATCTCCTGTTCGGAGGAAGCAGAGTCGCCCAGTCGACCCCAGACCATTCCAGAGATCTGGGGCTGAGAGGGGGCTCCTGATTCGCGCCTTGCAGAGTCGCATCCAGGCACCCAGTGCCAGACCGGAGGTGCGTCTTTCAGTTTTAGGTGGTATATCAAAGAGTCACGCTGAATTGTCCTGATCACACCATGATTTGAGACAGATGGCCCCATCTCCAGAGAGGTTTCAAGCAGTTCTCAATCATCCACATAGCACCTCGGAGTGCAAATCATAAGTTGTTTTCACTCAGACATGATCAAACCAGGCGTTATGCGTTGAATCTGCTGCTCCGACATGTTAGGTTTCATAGATGCACATACCTGTAGCTGTTCAACCCACAATGGGTTTCCAGAAGGGGAGAATGATGGTGGTTCAATGCCAGACCTGGATGAATCATACCCTCCTGCTAGGAGGTGAATCATGTCACATGTCACTTTTTGAAGGAACTACAAGCTAAGTTCCTTTGAGATAAAGAGGACATGAAGAAAAGACGAGATGAACAGGACTATAGAGATGAAGGCCCCTTTAAGGCCAACCACATAGAGATGAAGGCCCTGTTGTGCGTTGGAACCGGTCAGCACATACTTGACAAAAAGTCGAGACAACCAGCACTCCAAGAGACAACCAGCCACCGTTTGGGCTGGATGTTTATTCAACCCTCCAACATTTTTTTCAACCCTAACCTTTTTTTTTCAACCCTCCAAGACGCTTTTTCAACCCTGGGTTGGAACAAAATGTAACCCCTACTAAATCAACCCATGGTCCTTATATTCCAACCTTTTTTTTCACCCTGGAAACATGCCTTTTTCACCCTGGAAACATGTTTTTTCCACCCTTGAACCTTTTTTTCCAACCCATAAACATGCTATTTCAACCCTATGACACGCTATTCTAACCCTGGGTCGCACCGTGGGGGGCTGGCCTTTCAGTCCTAGGATGTAGACGCCTTCGTCGAAAGCTCGAATGATTCGGCCGCCCTATTCTGCTATCGCTGCTGGTCCTTCTCCACCGTTTTCCTTTTGCTTTGGCCTTGCTGGCTGGCTGCTGCCAACCTCCACCTGCAGCTTCCGCTGCTGCCGCTGGTGCTGCTGCTTACTGCTTTGCTGTGCTGCAGCCGCTGCTGCTACCGCTGCTGCCGCCGCCGCTGTTGCCGCTGTTTGTGCCGGCGCTTCCTTTTTGCTTAGCTGTTGCTGCTCTGCTGGTTTGGATGCGTGCTCGTGCTCAGAAAGAGGTGGCAGCGCACACAACATCGCCGCTCCGGGCAACATGTTCCCAGAACAAATATGCTTGGTGCACTTTTTAAAGATTGTCAAATGGTCACAACAGACCGAGCCCTCTGAAATCCCGAATATCATGGCTACTATGCACGCCCTCCTACACCCAGGCCCCCCTATTGAAACCTATGTTCAGACATTAGTAAGGCCTAAGCAGGCTTCAAACCTCAGTTTCTACTCGGTAAGCGCTCAACACAGCATGGAACTCTTACCGGGATGTTGTTTTCCTTCAGTGAGGTTTTGGTCTTGTTTCGGTCCTTTGCTAAGACCTCGGTCTTGTTTTCTTGTTAAGACCTCGATAGGCCAGCGTACATGAACATGTCGTGAAACTGTGCTTGTCTGGCAGTGGCTGCTGGCCCTGGGTAGCCACAGTAAACATACAAGCAAACAAGTTCGTCCAGACAGTGCAGTGCATAGTTCACACCTTGGAACATTAGACTCTATATATAGAGTTTTCTTCTGTCAGCCCTAGCCAGTTCTCCTTTTCTTTGAACTGACGCACTAGCGGCAGCCGGTGCAGACTGGCCCGGTCCCCCAGCAATCGTCGTAAGAGGCCTGAAAGCCTGAGAGGTTTGCCCTTTTTATTCTTCCCATCCCAACAATGCATGCGCCAAAGGGCCTGCGCCACAACATCGCATGGTCCATGTTCCATGTTCCATGTGGGTCTCTTCCAGAGCATACAGCCCACGGGGGGCACCACGGCAGCGCCACGAAAGTCTCTTCCTGGGACGTACGAACTTCCACCTGGCGCACTTGACTGACTCGCCGGACAGAGCTGGACCCAACGGACAGAGGTGGTCGTCCAGTCGCACGGACGAGTCCGGTCGCGTGTTTTGTTTGTAAGCCATGGATTATGTGTATACTATGGTCCCACTATAATTACGTATATACAGCACTCTTATAGTGGGTTTCTTTGCGTACAATATAAACCATTTGAGGGGTCTTTCTTGGGTCGCGTTTTCACAGGGGGGATTGCCAGACGACTTGTTTGATTGCCGTGAGCCATGAGCACTTCATGAAGATGCACGACTCCGACGCATTCCAATGGTTTGAGCTGTTTTGGGCCATGGGATTCGTTCATCTCCACTGCTTCTTGGACCCATTGTTATATTTCTCTCACTGGCCTTCTGACACCCTGTCCAGTCTTGCCAGGCATTGGCTGCTCTGATCCGCGCGTCGGTTTCCGCGCACCTTGCGCAAGAAATGGCGCAAGGGAGCCTGCGCACTTATGCCGATTGGCGCTGAGGTTCAAGGGGTGCATCTGTAGTGCTTTGGCGAACCAAGTGCCTGGTGATCGAATCTTTGAAGACCGATGACTTCAAGCCACAGATGAACCAGAGAGCGTTGTACCAAGCGATACGCTCGGCTCTGCGACCCACTAAATATTGCAGGTCGTTGGTGGCCCTGCCAGTGATGGTGCCCGAATCATTTGGGATCTCTGCAGATCCGGGTGAACTCTCTTTTTTCCAAACAAAAGATCACGGGAGCTCCACCTGAAGACCTTTGCGTGTGTTGTTCAATTCAGGTTCTCTTCAATGGTCCCCTTGGTTTCACCAGCGACCATAGGAAACATCATCACGATTGGCTTGTGGAGTGGGCCGGCGTCAGCGTCTCACCCATGCGACTTCTCCTGCGCACATGGAAGAGAAATCTGGACCAAATTGAATTGGTGCAAGCCGATGAATGAAGCTCGAAGAGATCTGGCAGCCACCGCTGCAGCCGACAGCTAGAAAACCAGCAGCCGACACGAACCGCAACAAACCAGAGCACCACACATGACGCGACAAACCAGAGCAACAAAGTGAGAACAAAGGGCATCGCTACTAGGAGCAAAGACCAAAGAAGCTTTCTAGGTCAAATCGACCGTGGGCCCAAATGGACGGGGTTGAAAAAGAAGGGTCCAGGGTCGAAAAAGCATGCACAAGGGTCAAAAAAGAATGTGACAGGGTCAAAAACAATGTTTGAGGGTGAAAAAGAAATGTTGCAGGGTTGAAAAAAAAGGTTAGGGTGGAAAAAAATGTTTGAAAAAAATGTTGCCCCCGTTTCAGCTGTTCACTCCGCAAACCGATTGAAAGAGACTCCCACCCCAATGGGCCTCCGATCCGATCCGATCAGGTGCAGGAAGAGCGCCTTCGGCTCAAGGAGGTGGTCGAAGAAGTCTTATGGGTGGCCCTCCTGCAGGCAGCCTTTCCCGACCCCCAAATGATGTCCACAGCAGCGTAGACAGGACGTGTCGGATGTGTCGTGGATGAAATACACATGCATACTGCATACATTATACGTTTACATTACCATAGAACACCAGGAAGAAGCAGGTGGTGGTCAGGAAGCACCAAGTTTGTGTGTTTGTGTGTGTGGAAGATTATTGGGTGCAATTTGGAGAGCTACTTCCTGGGAGGTCCGCAGCTGTCCAAAGCAAGGTGCGCATTCTGTGGGTTTTGAGGGGTTCAACAGATGGCAGGAAACACAAACACTTTTTGATAAGCTTCCCAGCTTTCCAGCCAGGACAACTCAGACGTAATGGAAACTAGTTGGATGTTCACTTGCTTGTTCAAGTACACACCATTGCTTCACTGTGTCCGGGCACTACAGTTTCACCTGTGGACCTGCCATGATTATCAATAATATGTTGGAACGTTTTAGAAGTTCATTCTTCTCTTTAAAAAAAGAATTAATTTGTTTTGCTCGTGTTTTGAGTTTAAAGATACTGGGCCTTGGCTCACGGTACATCACGATATCATTTCCAGGCGGCCTGCAGGAGCTTTGCGATGTCGTGGTATTCGATGTCACTGCCGCAAGTCGATGGCACTGCCGACTTGCAAGCCAAGATCTGTCAAACTTTGAAGTTTTATACTCTAAATCTCTTGGCACAAAGCCCGAGTCGTTGGACAACTGAAACAAACAATGTCATGTGCCTGGTTTTTCAAGGATCCGGAGTAAAACAAGGCAACAGGCGAAGTTAGACTGACTTACATATGTAGACTGCATATTGATTGCATATTGTAGTATTTTTAGATACTCTATATTATATTCATATATTTATATATAGAGTATACCTATAGATTGTTGATGTTCCTAAAAAAGGTAGGATGTCCCTGTGTTATGTGTGTTTGTCACCTAGTTGTACAATGTTGTACATGTTCTGTTTGGATTCCTGCTTGCAATGCGTCTTTGCGCTCAGTTTCTTAACCATGTCATTCGTTCGCCCTGAGTCATGTTTCTGAGAAGGAGAGGTTGGGAAGCTTGTTGATCTCGACTATTGGACCTGCCTTGCGGCCTGTTGCAGCCTCAGCCAGTGATTGGCCTGCCGGTCCGACCAGCCTCTCGGTCCAGCCTCTCTCGGTGTCCGGTCCTTCAGGTGGCCCGCCGGTTGCTGGCTCCTGGTCAGGTGCTCCCACGGCGCCTACGGGCCGAGTGCGGGGTCACGGCCGACGAGACGGTCTGGGGCGGCTGTTCGTCCCATGGATCACGAGTGAGTCCATTTCAAGGGTGTGCAGTCTGCAGGTCTGTGGGTCCAGAGCCAATTTCAATGCACACCACCATTTGTTCCTAGTATTGAGGGGTTCTGATAAAGAATATAAAGGATTAGCTGAAGAAGGTTGAGGCTTGGTCAGTCCTCGAAGTGAAAGATGAGAGAGAAATCTATGACGGTGCGTCCAGTAAAAAGAACACTAGTGGAAGAAACCCTTCAGTGATGCTGCAACCAACAGACCAGAACCAGACGACCAATCAGGCTGATTTGTGCATCGGATGTTTTAAGGAAATGCAAGTGAAGTCTAATCTAATCATTAGCATTACCAGCATTTTGTAAGTGTGATTGATTTATTTTTCTGGCCGAATCATAAACAATGAGACAATTCCGCAAATGGCAATTCACTAAGCCATCTTCGGCATCCCCTTCCAAAAAGTTTATCACCTATGCAGGAAGCTATTGACTATCGGCGTGTTCCTTCCGATCAGTCCTCCCAGGTTTCCAAAGCTCGCTCGACATCTCTGCTTCCGCGACTCGGAGGTGGGAAGCATCTCGACTCGGTGACCTCGACCTTTGGGCGGTGACCTTTGGGCGGCTGGGTCGCTGTTTGGTGTGGAAACGGGCTCGTGTCCAAGGTGTCTGAAACACAAGGGCCCTTGTGAGAGGCTATAATCTTGCGATGGCCTCCAACCTAAGAGCGATGGCCTCCACCCTAGTAGCGATGGCCTCCAACCTACTAGCGATGGCGTCCAACCTAACAGCGATGGCCTCCAAGCTACTAGCGATGGCGTCCAACCTAAGAGCGATGGCCTCCAACTTAAGAGCGATGGCCTCCACCCAAGTAGCGATGGCCTCCAACCTACTAGCGATGGCCTCCAACCTACTAGCGATGGCCTCCAACCTAAGAGCGATGGCCTCCAACCCAAGAGCGATGGCCTCCAACCTAAATGGCTATAATGATACAATATAATACAATATATATAGTATTCTTTTGTACATCTAATAATATATATATATACTATGGTCATTGGACCTACTTTTACTTTTGCGCCAAAATGTTGCAAGCATGCGCGTGACCTGAATACTTGCAGCTCCGGCGCGACGATATCCGTCCGGTGTCCATGGTTAATTCGTGTCCTCGGGCTATTACAACTAGAGCCAAAATGTTACAAGCATGCACATGACCTGAATACTTGCAGCTTCGGCGCGACGATATCCGTCCGGTGTCCATGGTTAATTCGTGTCCTCGGGCTATTACAACTAGAGCCAAAATGTTGCAAGCATGCACATGACCTGAATACTTGCAGCTTCGGCGCGACGATATCCGTCCGGTGTCCATGGTTAAGTCGTGTCCTCGCTGCCATTGCACGCAGCCGGACGCGGCAGAGTTCTCTGACGCGCTCCCCCGCCATCGGCTGGGGTCGGCGGATATATCCTATGGTCATTGGACCTACTTTTACTTTTGCGCGGACTTCAATTTCTGCTGGGTGGCTGACTCATTTGTTTCCTTGTTCTTCCGTCTATTTGGTTTAAGTTTCTCTTTCTGAGACTGTTCACAAGGTTGCTATGCTGTTGGTCTTGATCAATTGGATACCATTGGCATGCTTCTATTCTATTTCTTCTAAAGTACGCTATCCCTTTGGAAGTTGTGAGTCAGCATGCAAACGTGCCACACACACACACACACTCGCCAAGCTGTGATATTGCTCTAAGTATAGGTTCATTGTTTACTTTGCAATACTTTGCAAGTGCACTCAGCTGCCACCCCAGGGACACGAATGCACAATAATCAGCTTGAATAATCAATTTGACCAGATGGCTGCTGCTGCTGCGTGTGTGTGTGTGTGTGTGCAACCCTTGGAGTCACAGGGATCCTTTTGGATTTGTAGTTTTGAAAGATGAGCAGGGGGCTGGAGTGTGCTTCAGATGTCTCCAGCCAACGAAGAGCATCTGTTGCACTGGGACGCCAGAACTACGTACATGCTTCTTCTTGATCTTTTTGAACTTTTGAACAAGCTGTGACCCCACTCTCCAGTAGGGCTAATGAGTTCTGCAGACTTGAGTCAGCTTGTCGCTTCGTGGTCGTCGATTAAGCTTACCTGGACCCTTAGGCGGTCATACACAGGTTGCCGTGTGGCGAGTGGCATTCAATTCAGTGCGCATATCCATAAGTGTGTGTCTTGTAAGTGAGAGCCCAGGTCAGCCCAGGAGCGCCGAACGGTTTTTTTCCATGTTCCCCCTGCCCGGCCCCACAGCGGGCGGAGTAGGCTTGCGCCAAAGTCAGTCGCCAAGACTTGACGGATGATTGAAAACGAGTAGGCTATATGCCAGCATGTGACCGCAGCGGTCCAAGCAGGCTTAACGCCGCAAAGTGGTCGCAGCGACCGAAGCCTTTCTTAGGTTCATTGGAACCCCACACGTTTTGCGCGCGAAAGCTTCCTCCATTCGGTCTTCCGCTTCTTCTCCCCCTCTGGATCGGCCTCCTTGTCCAGAAGATTGAGTTTCTCCTCATGTTGAGCCACCTTCTCAATCTTGTTCCTCCCGGGGGCGTGATGTCCAAGGTCTTCAGGCTTCTCAAGCGAAGTTGATTCCCCATCTCTCTGCTCTAGATCCTCCGCTGCGTCCTCCATGGAAAGCGTATCCCAGCTGGTTCTCCAAGTCCAGCTGTACTCCTTGAAGGGTCCTCCTCGAGAACTTTATGGTGTACTTGTGTGCCTGGCTCATCGGGAGCCATAGCGGTTGGTGTTGCCCTGAACATAGACATCCTCCCAGCACAGTGGCTATACCGGGTGAGTCCGTGGAGATGCGCCGTAGGTGCACACACAGCGCGTACTCTCCAAACCAGGCAGGTCTTCCTAGGTCTTTCAAGTGAGGTTTGGTTTCATCGGTTCCTGGCCCCTCCATTTGGTTCCCCTTTTCATCCTTCCCTCTCACACACACATCTTTTTTCCTCTTTTCTTTCATGTCCTCCTGCCTTCATCTCACCCCTTCTTTCTTTTGCGCGCACATTGGTCCAGCCCTTAGTTTGTACGTGCGCATTCACACCTACGTCAACCCTAGGCTTCAGGTTGCCCAGGTTTGACAATGAGGTGGCTTTTCATTGTTTGTCCCTGTGCACTTGGTTCCTTTTCATCACAACCACATACACCTTTGTCCTGTCTTGTCCCCTTTTCAGTTCTTCATCTTCTTGTCCTTGCTGCGTGCACACATGCACAATTGTCCTGGCCTTAGCTTTTGTCGTCTCCCCTTGTGGGAGGCATGTGTGTGTAACCCTTCAAGTCAGAGGGATCCTTTTGGATTTGTAGTTTTGAAAGATGATCCAGATGTCTCCAGCCAACGAAGACGCTCTGTTGCACTCTGATATAGTTCTGGGACGCCAGAACTACGTACCTGCTTCTTCTTGATCTTTTTGAACTTTTGAACAAGCTGTGACCCCACTCTCCAGTAGAGGGCTAATGAGTTCTGCAGACTTGAGTCAGCTTGTCGCTTCGTGGTCGTCGATTAAGCTTACCTGGACCCTTAGGCGGTCATACCCAGGTTGCCGTGTGGCGAGTGGCATTCAATTCAGTGCGCATATCCATAAGTGTGTGTAAGCCGTAATAACGAAGAAACATTTATGAGTTGATTGGTTTTGAGTCACCAACAAAGCTTTTATGTTGCTAGTTGCTTTATATTTCAACCACGGAGGCCCAGGAACTCCTGTTTGTTGTCCTGGTCAACGAAGACCAGACAGCATGAGGTTGAAAACATACCTGTCCAATCGGCAGTGGCAGCTGTGCTCAGAATCCTAACAGGGTTTTCTCCTCTCAACGACGGTGTCGCTCACTAGACTTCCTTGCGTCACCTACTTTGTTAGGCTGTGGACTCAGGAGTTTCTCGGTTGCTACAACGAGCACTGGTCCTCACGCATTTTGTTTGCAGAGTCAACTCTATATTTGTGCAGCGGCCACGCTGTCCACGAAACTAATGCATCAGAAAGGAAAGCATTGAAACATGTGTCACCAGTCTTGGGTCTCTTGCAGTATATTACCTTCCACGGGATTGAGTTTCCACTTTAGCTGGTAACCAATGGTTCCAGAGACTAGAACCATAGACCTAGGAACCGTGGTTCCTTTTGTACTGTGCGATTTGGATTTCTTCGAAAATTTGTCAACGTCACTTCATACAACAGGCTGTTTCAGGTGACAAGTTGGACGCTGTTGCATTGACTCTGAGCTCAACATGAGTCTGAGGAACGAACAAGTGATAAAATGTCAAGATCAATACGGTACATGAGTGGTGAACCGTGAACTTTGAGTACTGGGTTGACGAGTGTGTAACCGTATGTGTGTGCCCCTTGTAATCACAGGGATTCCGTTGAATTGTTTCTTCTCTTTTTCAGCAGGGGGTGCCAGGGATGCACACTGGACTGGCACCAACGAAGACGCCAGTGTTGCATCTGTGAAATCAATCCGGGACGCCGGATTGACGTACCTGCTGGGCGAGAAACCTACGTAGAGCACAAACTGTCTACTTCGTTGTTTCCTTCAGTAAAGGGCTAATGCGCGGTGATGAACTTGGTTTTTCTGCACGCACGTCGTCACCTTGTCGTCCGCTCGCTCGGTGGTTTCTTCTGGAGTTGCTGGCCACCTGAAACTTGCTGGACCTCCACTGGCTGGACCTCCACTTCCTTTTAGGTTTCCTTGCCTGTACCCTTAGGAAGTGGTAACCTAGGCCGGCGTGTGGCACCGCTGTCAAGTCAGTACGCATATCCATAAGTGTGTGTGTGTGTGTGCGCGTGCCATTTCAATGTGTGGCAAGCTGACCAAGCATGTCTTAAGAAGGTGTTGCTGTAGCGGGTAGCTAGGAACTCCGGCCCGGCATCACTGAACTCGCAGAGGGGTGAAAACCATGAGAACGCATCATGCCATATCTTGTTTATGGCTTATGACACCGTTCGATTGGGTTGATGGTTAATGGATGCTTATGGTTCGCTCCAACCCAAGGCCATTCTGAGTGTGGCTCGAGACTATCAAAGACTGAGACTTTGTTTGTGCTCGCTGATTTGGCGTCAGGACATGGAGGTCCCCGTGTCCTCTTGGCAAGATGAGGCGACTTTTGGGGTCAGATGTTCCTTCCAGTACAGTAGAAAGCCTCAGGGTTTCTCACCGGCCTTTTCGGTGAGATCTTGGATGATCTTGGGTCTTGGGCTTGTGTTTACAATGCCTTTTGATGACTTGGCAGCTTTAGAAGTTACACCACAGCAGAGGAAGAAGGCTCAATGAAATACCTTTTGTATCCTTTTGTGATGAGAACTGCTCCTCTTCGAATCCTGTGAAAGGACCTGGCAATGCATCTCCGCTATGCAAGGGAGTGCCGTGACACCATGCTAGCGATGGACCTGACCAAGGACTGGACGGGCAGCCAGTGAGATGGACAACAAAAACGGTTTATTGGACTGGAAGGGTCGATTATGATTCGAGGGCATGAAATCAATTGCTCATGTTGCTGGGGGCGTCCCTTGTTTGAAGTCGTTGGAGTGGGAAGTTTTGCCAGGGGAATGGACATTGGACACTGATGAACAAACTCACCACTTGAGCCGGGTGCTGTTGCAGTTGCAACTACTATGCTCACTCTGGCCATGTGGTGAAAAGGGATGACCGGGGAGGTTTGCCTCAGCCGCTTGGGCAGGATGCCGTTGCCAGGCTGGTTGAAGGAAATCGGGAGTTTGGACTCCAGCCAGCAGAAGGGTGAGCCAATTCAAGTGTTTCATGACAAACAGAAATGTCGACACCAGCCGCACATATCAGCGAGAGCATTATAAAACATGTTTTATCCAAATACTGTTTAGACCCAGCGAGACTTGCAAGAATCAGATCAGGCTTGCTCATCCAACTTTCCCATGCTAACATGAGAAGGGTTGTTGGTGATGAAACATGTTGAAACCAATTGAAGCCAACCTTGGCTGTAGAGCTCAGAAATTGCTGAGGGTCACAAGAGCCTGGTACTTTATGTTTAATTCATGTTTGGACTTGTACAAAGCTTTGCATGAAAACGTCCATGGCTGCAAGGGTGTCTCGTTGCTTGGGCCGCTTCTTGCATAGGCTCAGTTGAATTGAGGAGATTTTTCAACATGGCCCGGCTGCTCCGAGGTGATACCCCCGCGGCTGCAATAAGAAGACTCTACATAAATGGTCATAGGTGGAAAGCACCTCATGACATCCGCCCTAAAGGGGCGTCGTTCTTGAATCTCCCTTTGCTCATGCATGATGAGAGAAAGAGAGCAGTCTCAATGCAAGACATCAGCGCTGCGGCCTCCTGCCTGACATGCTCGCGTCGTATTGCAACAGCAGCGCCTCCTTGAACCCCTCGGGGCCAGCCTCCTAGGCACACCATTCGTGTGGTCCATCCCGTGGGAAAAGTGGCTTTTCCCCTATGCATGTTTGCACATATTGCAGTCCAATCTGTGCCTGCTTGTTCCAGTCCAATCCAATGTGACTCATTGCAGATGTGTATGCAACAAAAGATTATATATATAGTATAAAGATGTTTTGAGTAGTCTTGTTCAATGAGCCCGGATGAAGAACGGGAGCAAGTCTGCTGAGTAGGAGGTGTTTTGGGGGCTCTTTGCCAGAACGAGGATGATGCGGGCATGAGTCAAAACTCGAGCCCTGGTCCACCATGTAGGTTGACCTCCCAGCTAGTCTAGTCTGTTCATTTGGGGTGGTCAACCAGGGTCGCCCTATCAGCCAGTGATGTCTCCCTTCGGCCCTGAATTCGTTCCTGCAGGCCGCCTTCAGTCCTCTCCGCCATCAGCACAAGAGTCTCGGCCAAATGTATGACCAACATCGTGGCCATACACGTAGAATGTTCTATGTCATGTAAATCTAAAGTCAAGTCAGTTAAATTCAGAATGTTTGGTTCGAAACTTGGACTCCTTCCAAATTCCGCGAACAAATGAACACACATGCACGCAGATTGAGACATTTGCAGTACGAAGCTGTATGAGCTCTGCAGAACTTTGACAGAGTTTCTCCTGGACACCTCAAGAAGTTGCGATGGAAAAGGTACCGTTTTCCACTCTTTGCACAGCATGAATAAGCGAGGAGTTTACATATCGTTTTCATGTGGCTCATATGTCACTGATTGAGAATCGCTGAACGGTTCAGGAATCGGTCGACATTGGGAGTCCACTGAGTCTACGAAAGGTCATTCACCAATGGTCGAGATGTTATCTCGGGCATGTTTGATGGAGATGTTGTTTGGGCATCTTTGGCCAACTCTTGACAGAGTGCTCAAGAAAGTACTGGGCCATTTGTGTACCACAGAGTCAGAGTACATGCCGCAACTCTAAATTAAAACCACCGGCTGATGGGCTCCTTTCTTACGTCATCCCGGGTCAGCTTCTAATCATCGTGTTTGCTGGCCTTTCTTTTTTTAGATTACAATCGATCCTCATCCCAGCTGTTTCTTTGAGGCTTTGTTCCTTCTTTACCTCCGAGGACTGCCTCCCTTCCGGGGGAGGACGGTAGTAATGCTCACCTGAACCGTGAACAGAGTGGATTTGGTTCACTGGGTGATGACACGAGCAGAGAGTTCAGAGAACAACACATATTGTTTTTGTACTCAGGTTTAGGGTTTTGAGCCGTGCAGCACAATAACATAAAACATGACAAAGGTCCAGTCTCAGGAAGTACAAAGACACTACTGGAGTTCCTAAACTTTCGCACAGCTGTGCATCCTAGTTTATGGCTACGGCGCCGTTAGTGGCTGTGAGTTTTTTGCTACTTTTACTACACTTTTTGCTCGTTTTTGTCAACTTCCGGTTACCAGGTTGCGTTTAGGGGTGGCTTGCGGGGTTTCAGTGAGGTTTCCATTTTTGGGGGGGTTTTGGGTTACGAGGTTGCGTTGGGTGGCTTGCCGGGTTCCAGTGAGGTTCCCCTGTTTTTTTGGGGGGGGTTGGGTTACGAGGTTGCGTTTAGGGCTTAGGGGTGGTTTGCGGGGTTTCAGTGAGGTTCGGAGGGTGTCGCCGTCTGCTTCGCTCTTCGCTCGCAGTCTTCGCTTCGTTCGCGTGGGACCTGGCGCATGCGTGTACCATTCTCAGATCCTCAAGCTTACCGAACCGACCGTTTCCACTCCGCCATGCTGACGGCTGTGGAGTTCTTTGAGTTCTTCTTGCTGCTGCTGGCTTTGCGTCAGCTACAAGTTGTACCGTGGGATTACTTGCTCAATGAGTTGGTGTTCTTGCGTCAACTGACTCCGCTGCTGGTGATGAGTCGGCTTGAGTTGTACGAGACGTGCATGGTGTTTTCCCCTTGACTCTATGACCCGGTCGTGGCTTCGACTCTACTTCTCACAGAGGGCCATCAACTAAAGTCCTAATTGTAAGGGCTTCGCCCGGGTGCCGCCGACCCCCTTTCAGGAGGAGTGTAGCACGTGTAACTAAAGGCGTTTGTGTAGTTCCGGTGGCGGCCCGTCTGTAGCTGCAGTGCACAGGCTGCACGTTCCAGAGGCTCCCTCCCCAGGCTCCCGCCTGACGCAGGCAAGGCTGCGATGCAGGAGTAGGCCAAAGGCGCTGGGAAGGGTTTGAAGCCGGGCCAAAATGCCTAACGTTGCTTTCGGAAGCCCATAAGAACAGAAGAGGCAGGCCTGGAACAGGCGAAGAGAAGAGGCAGGCCTGCCAGCTGCCGAGAACGGTTTGGGGGCGGTCCAAAATGCCTAACGTTGCTGGCCTGCCAGCTGCCGAGAAGGGTTTGGGGGCGGTCCACAATGCCTAACGTTGCTTTCGGAAGCCCATAAGAAGAGAAGAGGCAGGCCTGAGACAGGCCAAGAGAAGAGGCAGGCTTGCCAGCTG